AAGATCAAAAGAAAGCACAAACGTGGGTTTGTAACAAATCCAAGTAGTTTGTGGGTTTGAGAGGAAATGATAAAGACATCACAATCATGAAGTCAATATTGCAATTACATAATGGAGCAAAGTCATGCAAGTGAAATTGGATCTCATCTCCATAAGGAGACTCGGTTTCTCTCGGATTGATTCTTTAAGATAACTTATAGAGTTATAATGTAAGACGAGTAGGGACACAACTACGTACTCAGAGGTTGGGTTAGGCATGAGCCCTACCCAACCTCAAAAGAATAAGAAATACAATAAGAAATGAAAAGATTTAAGAGCAAGTTTGCCAAAAGAAAAAACCAAAAGCCCTACCACAAATGTATTGATAGAGTAAGAAAAAAATTCTTAGAGTTAAGGTTAAGAGAAAAAAAGGCCCTACACTTGATTTTTCATTGGTTCTACCCATGAAGACATGGGTTAATTTGTAGAGAATTCAATTTATTAGTATGTATGAATTAGATAGTAAAAAACCATTCATCTTAAAATAAGATATTGGAATCTTCAAGGTAGTTGCTTAATAGTTAAGAATTTAAAATTTTAAGTAAAAGGTCTTAAATTCGAAACTTTAGTCGAGTGGAGAGGGATTTAGGGAAAGAGAAGTACTATTCTCTATTGTATAACCTACCATTATCATATGTATTAAAATAAGATAAAAGTTTGCCATTTGATATCTATATAGCAAAAGGCTAGCTGCAATGAATTCAAACTAATGAAAACACAAATGACTAAAAGATTACCAATGATCAATAGGTTTTAATAAGGATATTGGATATAATAAACATATAAACCTAAAAAAGAAAATGACATGGGAATTAATATAAAAATTTCCATATATCCAAGTACTTACCACTTAGTGTGCAAGATTCCCATCCTTCTTGTTGATGATGCCTTGTTGTAAATAGTTGGATCCAAGGTATGACATCTATAATTGAGGAATACACCATCAATTCCCACAACTGTGGAGCTTTAAACTCAACTATGGTGAATTGTAACATATCTTTGGGACAGGACATACGTAACCGAACCCACTAAAGCACATAATAGGTTACTACAATTACCCATTCTTTGTATTGCATGTGAGATTCCAATCTAGCCAAGACCACAATACCATATTTGGTGATAGATAACAATGACCAAATCGTGCTTGTGTTTCCTTTGATATTTGTAGAGGGAGGTGATAGATCTTTAGAAAAAAAGCTTCGTATCAAAAAACACAAACAACATAATTGATTACTACAAATAAATAGTCTTTATAATATGCCACAAGAAATATGGTAAGAGCAAATGTGAAAATCTCTTGTGCAACATTTACAACTATCAAAACTAAGCCGTTGGTTCCTTTGTTATTTGTAGAGGATATTGAGCTATCTTTTGGGATTGGGATAGAACATATGGAACCGAACACTCCAAAGCACAATGCCAATTGCCTTAGCTAACCAGGTTTTCTAATCAAACGTGGGAGATTTGAAAATAGAATACTCGAAGATGGCTTTTGCATTAAGTGCAACAAATGATGAAAAAAGAAAAAACACACTAGTGCTTCCAATTGTGGTGTTTGTAGAGGGATCTTCTTCCAAATCCAACTAGTATTTATCACATCTTCTTCCAATTGTAAATTTAAGTCCTCGATAAAAGTTATTGCCAAGAACAGGGCAATTTTTCCCATCCACGTGATCTTTGACAATTGTTTGGTGAGATGCAACTCGAAAGCTTCCGATTGATTCTTCTTCTTCTTGAGCAAAGCTCTCATTGTCGATTGTCGATACACTTTGAGAGCTTCCCGTCTCCGTAGATCATATCCACCTCTTCTGCAACCGAATATAATAGAAGCATTTTCTAGAAGATAAGATTGGCTAATGCCAATTGTAGATTCTACAGTTGAATTTCTTTGGGATAAGGAATTCTTTATGGTCGATCACGGTGGTTCATTCCCAAAACTTCTTCATATATATATTGTTTATGGAAAAGAAAGGTAGCGAAGGCCGGCCACGGTGATTAATTTAGCCATCATATTTATTTAAAAAATTATTTTTTATTTAAAAAATAATAATAAATTTCATTCATAAAATAAATAAATAAATAAATAAAATTTTATATAAATACATTATATAAAACTTATATATTAGTAGATCTCTATCATATATATGACAAAATTTATTTATACATAAAATTTACATATTATATGATAAATATGTATAAATATAATAGAAGAGTTTTATTTTAATATATATA